ACCCAACATATACATGCGAACTGATTCCCACTAGCACTAGCAACCTTTGCAAAAACACATTCCCACACTGATTAACCCGCTAGATAGAAACCCAATCTTCTATTATCCACTCCTCAGACTGCAGATGCTACCCAACATTCAAACCAGCGCCACATTCACTAATAACCCTCACAAAAGATATCCAGTGAAAACCCGAAACACTAACCCATAACCATACCAACCCTGAAGGAAACACGGATACCAACACGAAACCCAAACAACACGACTGGCATAAAATAACACACCATAATAATCACAAGATAACGAGATATCAAGAAAGAAACATACCCGTAGCTGCATCTGGCACTGCCCTGACCTCCTCTGCTGAAAGCTAAAAAGCACATCCTTGAGCCCTTGGAGACTCCGCTCCACCCTGACCTCCTCTTGTGATCCTCAAAGTGGCCGGTGCTGGAGCTTGCACCGGTCCTGCAACAAGCTGTGGGCAGTTGACCCTCAAGTGCCCAACCTGATGACAATGATAACAAATCCTCAAATCCTGAACCAACACTAACTGCCGACAATCCCTCGCATAATTCCCCTCCTTTCCGCACTTGCGGCATGCACCACCAGACCGAAAAACTCCGGCGTGACCCCTCCCACACTTCCCACAAACGTGGCTACCCTGATCTCCCATCCTGGAATCAACGGTCTTAGACCGTTTCGTCGCCGGCTGCGACTACACCGGAGCTTGCCTCAGCTCACGCAACTGCAACTCAATCTCTAACTCACGCCACCTGGCAGCCTCCTGCAACTCCAACAAGGTCTCGCACCTCTGCGTGGACACAAACTGTCTGATATCTCTCTTTAGCATACTCAGATATCGGGACATCTGAGCCTGCTCCGAATCGAACTCAGGGCAAAACATCACCCTCTCAGCAAACATCCTGGTGATTTCCATCACCGAATCCGAATCCTGCTTCAGCTCAAGGAACTCCTGAGCCAACCTCTCCCTCTCGACCTGCGGAACATAACGAGTGCTGAACATCTCTCTGAACTGATCCCATGAAACTGCAGCCCTCTGCGCATCCGAATACGACCCCGTGGTCAACCTCCACCAATCCTTTGCCTCGAGCCTTAACAGGTTCAGAGCACACCTCACCCTCTGATTAGCAGGCATGAACATGTGAAGAAACACCCCTCCACGTCTGATAACCATCTCATAGCAACGATCGGATCCTGAACTCCATCAAAGGTGGGAGGCTTCGTATTATCGAACTCCCGATACTGAAAACCTCTACTAGCTCCTCCCCCTGCCGCTGCTACAGCCACTGTAGCCGCTGTGGCAGCCGTCTCCGTGAGATTCGCATAGCGCTCATCAAAATACTCCACCATGGCGGTCTTGATCGACCCAAACAGTTCCGGAAGCTCGGCCCGGAACAATACAACAACCTCATCATGCAGGATCTCACGAATCCTCACATCCAAATTGCCTGTGCTTATCTAACCAACAACCTCGGGCGGTATGGACCCACCCAGAACTCCCTCTCCTGCTCCCTGATCCACTCCCAGCATGCCTTGAAATCTCTATACTGAAAATAAACTACCAAAATCTCAGACACTTCCCACCATCCCGGGAACCAACTCTCAACCCAACCCTAGAGGTCATGGTTTCCCTGATATGCGTATGGGTCCTGTGCTTTTAGTAGTACGGGCCCATACTACCTTCCACACCTACCCATATTTGTATGAAGTACTACCACAACACCCTAGTGAAAACATACATAACAACGCTCTACCCTCACTACTAGAGGAACACTAGAAATCTCTCGCAAGGAAACCCTAGGATAACAGGCATCATAAATCAGGCAACACATCATGAAATCCTGAAGATCCCTAGCCTAACACTAGCATGTTGTTCTATCAAAGCTCAATAAAACAAATATCACGTATGGTATTTTGGGGTTACTTATTGGCTCCGGTTGATCGTACTTCCGCGTCCTCCCTTACTTATTTTTGAAAACCATTTTAAATTCTCTTTTGGAAACCCTCCTCGATTTGAGACTGGAGTCACACAAGTGTTCCTCCAATTCACTCAAACCAAGGCTCTGATACCAACTTGTAACGTCCAAAAATTTCAATAAAATTTAAACTTTTCAAAAACATCCCAATTCATTAAGTTATCACAAAAAGGTTTTCAATACATTTATTATCAGAGTATTCCCAGGTCCATTTCATAAACATAAACACGAGGAGCGGTACGATCACGCCTTTGCCTTGCCACAGTCTCCTGAAGAACCTGAAAAACATTAAACCACAACTGTAAGCCCGAAAGCTTAGTGAGATACCCCCAAAATACCAACCACATATACCATACACATAACATGCTATATCATAACAAATCACAGAACAACCATGCATATCGGGTCTACTGTGGGACTGGTCCGCCGCTTCGGGCCTTCAGTCCACCTGGTCCACCCTCCAAGACCAGTCATGTCCCTCGAGTCTGCAATGTGGTTGGTCCCCCCGCGCCGGGCCTTCAACCCACCTGGTCCACTCTCTGAGTCTACAGTATGAATGCTCCGCCCACATTCGGCCTTCAGTCGGCCTGGTCCACTCTTCGAGCCTCGGCACGTCTGGTCCGCCCTCGTGGGGCCTACAGACTATTCGGATCGCTCGCTGGGCCTTCGGAACAACCAGTCCGCCCTGGGTATCTTGGCCTACAACACGAAGCAGGACCTGCCTCAACCCAACTCCAGTCCGAAAAACCATGTGCACATAAACATACAATCACATAACAATTCATATTTAGTCAAACCGATTTAGCAGATCACATAACACAATATACTCTAACAGGATACCGACCTAATCGGTCACTAGCGTAGCATCATCCTATCTACCAGGATACCGACCTTAACCAGGTCTCTAACGAATACCATCCTAACTACCCGGATGCAAACATATCAAAGCAATAACATAACAACAGATACCCGGATCTCAATCCGATAAAGGGCCGACCTTGGTGCCTTAGACCCTTTTGATATAGTAAGGATAACTCACCTCGCAACTGCTGACTGAAAGGATAAGATCACGCTGCTGAAATCTCCGACCCGAACTCCACCACTGGCTATCACCAACATAAAAGCCAACAATTACCAAAATGCCCCTGGAAGTCAACTGGTCAACCCTTGGTCAAAGTCAAAGTTAAATTCTACCCCTGACAGACTCTACTCGCCGAGTCAACCCGATGACTCGCCGTGTCCCCATACACAGAACCTCCTTCAATTCACGACTTAACTCGCTGAGTCATCCCTTGACTCATCGAGTCACAGCCCTCCCAAAAGAAACTTCGACTCTACGACCAGAGTCGCTGAGTCCAAGAACAGACTCGCCGAGTCTACAACTATCTTCAACCTACTCGCCGAGTTGTTCTTCCAACTCGCCGAGTTCTAGGCCATCTTCATCCAACTCGCCGAGTTCCAGTCTTTCTTCAAGCAACTCGCCGATTCCACCCATGTGACGCGTCGAGTACCACCGGGTCTGAATCCATACAGAGGCTTTCCAAGCCATGCAGATGATCCAAACCATAGATCTACTCCTCCTAAGGCCATCCATCACGTAAAGTAGCAATCTTTACGTGAATCCAAGAAGATCTAGGCATTTTCACTCTAGGGTTTGGGTTTGGGACAAGATAACTCCATCAATCTCTCAACAACAGGGACCTTTATGCATTCAAACCCCTTCTCCATTCCAAATCTGAGGTAGCAACCTCAGATCTAACCTCTAAACTCCAATGCACCAAAAGATATGATCTCTAACACCTCCAACAATGACGAATCTAAATAATAGCAGCTCAAACAATGAAATAATACCTTAAAAGGAAGCTCCAAGAGAAGATTAATCCGAATCCTTGCAAAGCCCTTTGATCGAAGTCTCTTCTCCTTCAAGATATCTTTAACAAGCACTTCCCCAAGCTCCAAATGCACTCCAATCCTCCACAATCACGTATCTAGGGTTTCTGGACTTCAAGGGAGATCAAAGAGGCTGGGGAGAGGGTATAATGTCCTTTAAATAGCGCTCATCCTCCAGATTTAGGGTTTTCTCCGCTCAACACCTACTCGCCGAGTCCATCTTTGGACTCGCCGAGTAGGCCACTTAACACGCTATCAAAGTCGCGACCCTACTCGCCAAATCCACCCATGGACTCGCCGAGTTGCCCTTATACAATTTCACTTTTAGCCCTTCAACTCTACTCTTGATATTCCGGGATGTTACAGGGTTTGTGAAGCATTTATGTGATCGAGTTGAAGAACCAAAGAAGTCACAGAAATGGCACAATCGGAACCTAATGGAGTGTTTGTGATGGTGGAACTCAACTACCAAGGGGTATTTAATCAAAATCCTTTCTCTTACACTGGTGGTGTGAAAACTATGTTCACTAATGTCGACTTTTCTTCTATGACTTATTCTGAGTTTGTGACCTTTTGTGAACATTTCAAGCATGAAGAGTGTAAAAAGTTTTACTACTGTGAACTAGGAAATACCGTGATGGAAGGGCTTAATCCCATTTTTAGATGATGTGGAATATGTTGCTTTTATTTTTGAAGCTTATGGAACAGATGGTGTAATTGCGATTTATGTGGATCATATTGGGGTTGGTGTTGGTGGGTGGTTTGATGGTGAACATGAGCCTTGTATTGATACACATTCAAACATTTTAGTTCAATACATATCGATTGAAGGAAAACGAGCAACAAGTCGTGCCGCTAACATAGATGAAGATAACATAGATGAACTTAGGAATGTTGTCTTTGAATTTTATGAGGATGTAGTGCATATGAATAGGACATCAAATGATCCTTTCGTGAGTAAGTTATGTGTTGATGATGAGGAGGATAACAACATTATAGATGATGATAATGGGAGAGAAGTTGAACCTAACATCCAAACTATTTCCATATTTAATGAGCTATTACATTGGAAAAGATAAAAACCAATTCTAAGAATGAGATCCAAGGCTCTAGGGCAAGTAAAGTCAAGTTGTGCAACTATGCCGTGGCTAATGGATATCAATTGTGTTTTGAAAAAAAATGATAGGAAAATATTTTTGGTGAGATGTAGCAAGGGTGCTTTCACATTTATATTATGGGCTTCTTGGATGAGTGATGAAGAGAGTTTCCAAATCAAGTCACAAAAAGCTTATCATAATTGTGCTAGGAACTTCAAGTTTGGATTATTGGTGACATATGCATGGATTGGGAGTCACTATACGAAAGAGATTGTACAGAGTCATAAAATGAGTGTAAGGAAGCTTAGGGTAAAGGTAATGACCAAGTTTAGTATCCAAGTTAGTATGGGCCAATGTAGGAGAACAAAGAAGTATGCATTGAATCTTGTTGAAGGTAGCCTTGTTGAACATTATGGTAAGCTATGGTAATATGTTCATTAGATTTTAAGGACAAATCCTAGGTCAACTGTGAAAATAGATGTGGAAGATGGTCCAGATGGAAAGAAATATTCTAGCAAGTTCTATGTTTCTTTTCAAGGAATTAAACAAGGTTGGATTAAAGGGTGTAGAAGGATAATGGGTCTTGATGGATGTTTTCTTAAAGGTGTTTGTCAGGGGGATTGCTTTGTGCTATTGGGAGGGATTCAAATAACAAGATATATCCTATTGATTGGGCAGTGGTTAGTGTGGAGAACAAGTAGAATTAAAAGTGGTTTTTATAGCTTCTCATTAATGATCTAAACTTGAGTTTAGGCAATTGCTTCAGTTTAATGTCAGACCAACATAAGGTTAGTATTTTACATAGTAATTCATTTATATTTATTTTATACTATCTGATTTAAACCTTTTTATTAATACAGGGTTTGATAGAGGCTGTTAAAGAGTTGCTTCCATTTGCACAGGCAGTGTGCTATACATATTTGCAAGAATTTGTAGAAGAGATTCACCGGTGTCATATGTCATACCTTGTTTTGGAGAGCATCTAAAGCCACAACTGAGCATGCTTCTAAAGTTGTGATGAAGAGCTTACTTTCAAGCTGGAAGGTGTTGTGATGTAGTTGAAAATGGCTTCTCTGAAAGTTTTAATGTTGTAATAGTAGATGCCAAGAAGAAGCCCATAATAACCATGTTAGAGGAGTTAAGATTATACATGATGGACATAATGTACAATGTGAAATTAAAGGGACAACAATGGGGAAATAATATTTGTCCAGAGATAAGGGATAAGGTGAATTTGCTTAAAAAATTCAAAGGAATTATCAGGTACTCCCTAGTGGATTAAACCAGTTTGAGGTAAGGGAGCAACAAATGCATATGAGGTGGACTTAGAAAGAAAAACATGTTCATATAGGTTGTAGCAGTTGAATGGATATGGATGTGCTCATTCTGTAGCTAGCATATCCTATCTTAATAGGGATGTAGAAGCCTATGTAGACAACATGTTTAACACCACCACATTTTGAAAGGCATACAATTATAGAAATTCCCCCATGAATGGTAGTGACATGTGGCCAGAGACAAATTATACTCCACCATTGCCTCCTATTAGTTGAAGGATGCCTGGTAGGCCAACTACTAAGAAGAAAAAATCAACTACAGATAATACAGGAACACACAAGGTTTCTAAGGCTGGAAAGAAAATTAGATGTAGTATATGCAAGGAGATGGGTCACAATAAGGCCACTTGTCCACAGAGAAGGCCCCAAAAGTTAAATTTGAAGAAACAGAAGAAACAGAAGAAACAAAAAGTTCATGTGAAGCAAAATGCAGGACAGTTAAAGCCATTTAAAATTTAAATTTATTTACATATGATTTTCCACAAACATAATTATATCATGTAATATAGGGTAGTACAAGTGAGCCACAATAACATGAAGAGGTTGAAATGACTCCAGTTGAGATGGATACTACTCAAAATGATATGCAAGTTACTTCTAGTGATGTTGAATCTAGTAGTACAAGGGATTTTAGTCAGTCTATGCAAGTTACTCCACCTACAAGTTATGAAGGTGATGAGGGTGTTATGGGTGAGGAAGCTAAGGAGGGTGGTAATGTTCAAGATGATGAGGTTATTCCTAATGTCCAAGTTGTTGATAATGTTCAGATTTAGGAGGTTACTCCTATTATCTAGGTTCAACAGGTAAGGGTTAGATCAATTTTAAAGATTTTGAATAGGATAAGGAGAAGAAAGTCAGAGAGAATCTTGAAGCTGAAATTAAGCAAGAAAATTGGTGGTGTTGATGATCTAGGAAATTCTAAGGGAAAATCTCTTCTAATTGATTAGTGTTGATTTTTCCTTTTTATTATTTAGATTTAAAGTATGTGTGTTAGGATGATGGTAATTTGGATTTAAAGTTTGTGTATTAGGATGATGGTAATTTGGATTTAAAGTATGTGTATTTGAATACATGTGATGTGATCATTTATGTATGCATGGTGCCTTTTTAAGTTAACTCAGGACATAAAAGGGTATTTTGGTCATTTATGTATGCATGGTGCCTTTTTATGTTCACTCATAACATAAAAGGGTATTTTGGTCATTTATGTATGCATGGTGCCTTTTTAAATTCACTCATGACATAAAAGGGTATTTTGGTCATTTATGTATGCATGGTGCTTTTTTAAGTTAACTCATGACATAAAAGGGTATTTTGGTCACTAATGAATGTATGTTGCCTTTTTAAGTAAAATGTTGACATGAAAAGATATTTTACTCACTTATGAAAGTATGTTGCCTTTTTATGTAAACTCGTGACAAATAGGTTTGAATATTTATGCATGGAAAAATTTGGAATAATGTGCATGCATGTGAATGTGTTATATAGTCACATATATGGTTCTATAATGGGTTCAAAGGTCCCATTTTTCCATTATAAAAATACCCACTAACTATTAACTACAAATGGTCCCCATACATATCATGTACTACCACATGGACCACTTTCTAATTTGTTCCAAATATAATAACATGCACAACAACCAATTTAATTAAATATAATTGTTGGGAATATAGGCCATGCATATGTTTCAATAACATCATTATTTTCAATAACATCAACATCTGATTATACAAAATGCCCTATTCATTGATGATATCCTGGTCTATTTCAAGACCCAGGAGCTACATGAGGAGCACTTAAGGGAGGTATTGGAAACTTTGAGGATGGAGTGACTTTTTGCAAAGTTCTCCAAGTGCGAGTTCTGGTTGAACGAGGTGTAGTTTCAAGGGCACCTTGTCAACCAGAATGGTATTCTGGTCGATCAGGCCAAGGTCGAGGCCGTGATGAGGTGGGAGGTACCGAGGTCTCCATCTAAGATTTGGAGTTTCCTTGGGTTGGAAGGCTATTATCGAAGGTTCATTCAGGATTTCTCCAAGATAGCGGTTCCTCTAACTCTGTTGACAAAGAAGACAGTCACTTTTCGCTGGGCGCCTGAGCAACATGCAACTTTTGAGACCCTAAGATAAAGAATGTGTGAGGCATCTATTTTGACCCTGCCGGAGGGTGTTGAAGATTTCATGGTTTATTATGATGCGTCAATCACAGGTTTGGGTGTAGTTCTAATGTAGAGGGGTCGCGTGATCGCTTACGCTTCGAGGTAAGTGAAGCCTCATGAGACAAATTATCCGATGCATGAATTAGAGTTGGGGATATGGTTTTTGCCCTCAAGATTTAACGACATTACCTCTATGGGGCCCACTGTACTATATAGATAGATCACAAGAGATTGAGGTATCTAATGGATCAGCCGAATCTGAACATGCGGCAGTGTCGGTGGTTGGATGGGGTGCAGGATTAGTATTGTGAGATCCTTTACCATACAGGGAAGGCTAATGTGGTGGTTGATGCTCTTAGCAGCAAGGCGGTCACGGCTCTGTTCAGGGATATTTGTTTCAGGATGACCGTGATCACTCCACTTTTGGAGCTGATTCGAGAAGCTCAGGTTGAGGCTATGTTGGGAAGAGTGAGCGCACAGTGAGTCAGATGGCTTCCTTTTATTATGAAAACCAAGGGTTATTGAATCTCCATCGAAGAGTGTGGGTTCCGTATTTGGGGTGGTGTGCATGAAGTTCTGATGGAGGAGGCACACAAATCGAGATTCTTCATTCATCCTATGGCGACAAAGATGTATATTGATCTTCGTACTGATTATTGGTAGCCCTGTATGAAGCGGGATGTAGCTTGGTACGTAGAGAGATGCTTGACTTGAAGGAAAGTCAAGGCCGAGCATCAGTGGCCTTATGACAAAATGCAACCGTTAGATATCCCCATTTGGAAATGGGAGGAGATTACAATGGATTTCATTAGGATGTGTCCTTAGAGTGAACACATAGTGGATTCGATTTGGGTCATCGTGGATCGATTAACCAAGAGCACACATTTTATTCCGCCTCAAGATAGTATCTCTTCAGAGAAGTTAGCTGAGGTATACATCAGGGAGGTAGTGGCACAACATGGGGTGCCCGTTTTTGTGGTTTCAGATAGGAACGTTCGGTTTACTTCCGGATTTTGGAAGAGGTTCCACGACGAGCTGGGTACTCATCTGCATTTCAGTATGACTTTCCACCCACAGACTGACAATCAGAGCGAGACGACTATTCATTCCTTGGAGGATATGCTTCGGGCGTGTGTTTTGGATTTTGGTGGGAGTTGGAATACATATATCCATTTGGCATAGTTTTTGATGGGTTTTGAGCACTACATCAATCCTATGGTGTACATGCAAACCCTAAAGCTTTGGATCTAGTTTGTCTGATATACATTCAATAATCATCCAAAGATCATAACCCTAATTCTAGTATACAATAATTCAAATTGACAAAAGGATAGAGTTTAGATCTTACCTTGATTGTTATGTTGCAACAACAATCCGAATCCTTCTTGTAATTGACTTCTAAAAGCCTAGTGCCTCAAATGTTGCACCTCTAATGGAGTCACAAACACCATATGCAACAAGATTAACAAGGAGAGAGGGAGGAGGCA